ATCATCATTCTGCGCAGTTGGGATCCTATGACATGTGTCAACCAAGTCAGCGAGCCTGACCACCTGATCCCATTAGTCGCCTCTTACGACAAGCATGGTTTACTGAAGATCAATTCTAACCCGGATCTTCACGGGTACAGTACGTTAGAGAGTTATGTTAACTCTGGTGGGTGCATTGATAGAGCATCGTAAAAGAATTTCATTGAAACTCTGTTTAAGGAAAATAAAGGATTTACACAATTCGCCAGAGGTTTTGTGTAAATAACTGCAGCCTTCACCTTAAAATACTGTACTCTAATGATTTTGTTCAGGTTTCCATTCCTTTTTTCATTCTTCCGCTCCCCTTTCATCGTAAGAGGATGTTTTTCGGTATAATAAGATGCGTTGCTGTCAAATTTCCAAAGCTCTCAATTTTCTTAAAATGTCAAGCACATGCGACATGTGGTATTGTATTCCCAACGAACAGTGTACAGTGAGGTCCATTCGCGAACATGACGGATAAAATTCAGTATAGATTACCGGATTTGCCCAACGACTGGTCATGGCACGTTCTGTCAGGGAAACATAAAAGAATGTTATACTTGAATGCACACAATCTGTCTAAGTGCTGACAATGAGTAATCAAATGTATGATCCCCAGGGAGTTGAGATGGACAATACGGTGTGCCGTTGAGATTGACATCCAGTGAACGAGGGAAAACTAAGCGCCTTTGAGCAGCTGAGCTGAGCTGGATATCGGCGCTATATACAAATGTTAGTATGTAATCACTATCACTGTGGCACATGGGATAATTCAATACGTCTTTAGCCGATGTGCTTGTGTGTGTGTGTGTGTGTGAGTGAGAGTGATTGATTGATTGTGAGTGTGTGTGCGCGTGCTTTCCAGGTTTCTTCGCAAACTTTGTAATGTATTTGGGTGGGAGAAGGAATACTGCCATGAAGCACTGTTCACTTATTTGTTTTCCTACCTACCTACCTACCTACCTACCCTACCTACCTACCTACCTACCTACCTACCTACCTACCTACCTACCTACCTACCTACCTACCTACCTACCTACCTACCTACCTACCTACCTACCTACCTACCTACCTACCTACCTACCTACCTACCTACCTACCTACCTACCTACCTACCTACCTACCTACCTGCCTGCCTGCCTGCCTGCCTATCGTCTCTTACTACAAGCTTGGATTGCTGAAGATCGATTCAAGGGTTTTGACTGAATGGAGGGCCATGAGAGCCTGGATCAATAAAGGGAGGCAAGTCTGCACAGAAAACGCAAACGGTGCAAATACCTGTGCCCTCGGGAATTAGAACTTGATTGACGGCACATGCATACTGAGAAACAACTGTGTAACCGGATACTGAGGTAAACAGTGGTGTTGCTACAGGAACTTTAAACATGAGTGAATTCTCTGTTAAAGCTTCATTTCTTAAATGGACAGTAATCTATGAAGAGGGATATGGGGGCGAACATAAATATTTAACGATCACAAAAATGATCAAATATGTACGACGTGATTGCCTCTGTATGATTCCTGCATTATTCATTACATCCGAGGGCTCCTTGATTACTAGAGGCGGTGGGGTAGCCTAGTGGGTTAAGCGTTCGCTCGTCACACCGAAGGCCCGGGTTCGATTCCCCACATGGATACAGTGTGTGAAGCGCATTTCTGGTGTCCCCCGCTGTGATATTGCTGGAATATTGCTAAAAGCGGCGTAAAACTAAACTCACTCACTGTCTGTTGTATGGCTGTGACATGCAGTTAACCGTTTCGCTGGTATTGACCTCTTGATGGTTTACACTGCTTCTGTAGACACATGTTACCGAACCACCTCATGCGGACCTATCTCTTGCAGGAACCCAAACACGAAAAAAGTATCGGTATAGGCCTATATAACAGACAACGTTTAGGCTAAATTTATGTACAGCTTCATATACTCAACAAAAAGTCTAAGAACCCTTAATAAGTTCTGACAGAATGGCAGAAAACATATAAGTTTGATGATTGTAACCCAAGCAGATATCCATAGTTTCCGGTCAGACACGTGTTGTCGAGCTCACGGTCAGATACGCATTATAGAGGTCATGGTCAGACACGTGCTGTAGAGGTCATGGTCAGACACGTGTTGTTGGGGTCATGGTCAGGCACGTGCTGTAGAGGTCATGGTCAGACACGTGTTGTTGGGGTTATGGTCAGATACGTGTTGTTGGGGTCATGGTCAGACACGTGTTGTTGGGGTCATGGTCAGACACGTGTTGTAGAGGTCATGGTCAGACACGTGTTTTAGAGGTCAAGGTCAGATACGTGTTGTTGGGGTCATGGTCAGATACGTGTTGTTGGGGTCATGGTCAGATACGTGTTGTTGGGGTCATGGTCAGACACGTGTTGTAAAGGTCATGTCAGACACGTGTTTCAGAGGTCAAGGTCAGATACGTGTTGTTGGGGTCATGGTCAGACACGTCTTGTTGGGGTCATGGTCAGACACGTGTTGTTGGGGTCATGGTCTGACATTACCATCTCTTGTTGCCAAAACACACCGTTAGTCTTCCCTGATGTTTACTATCCTTAGACAAGCGAAATGCTTTGTTGGTTTCATCTCCCAGTTAAACCAAGTAACGCCATGTTTACTGAAAAAAAGCCTGGAAAGTGGGACGTTAATTTAATGTCAGTCATAGATTGTGGGACAGGTATCAGACATTTTGGTCAGGGAAGAAGAGTCCTAAAACAGCACGACCAAAGAAAACCACGCCCTGGGAAGATCGCCAAGTGACCCTACTTGCCAAACGAAATCGGTTTTCTTAGCTCAAATTCCTGAATAATAAGTTGTATGCTCCCCAGGGAGTTGAGATTAATAATACATTGTGCAGTTTGAGACTGACATCCAATGATCGAAGGAAAAACAAAGCATCTTTGAGCAGGTGATCTGGATATTAGCGCTATAAAAATATATATAAATAATAAATAAAAATACAATGAATTCAGAAACATTACATTGACCTCACATGCGAGAACTGTGTGGAAGTCGCTACACAATGTGTCAGCAGGGGAGTGAATGAGTTACGACCCATTCTATCCACACACGAGTCACGCTTTTGCCACAACTTTCATGGTTGGAGTTCGTGTCTGGCGCTCGAAACATGAGAGGTTTGCTAACTGTTATGTCGTGTAACACGACCAATGTTGGAAGAGGGTCAGTGACGGTCCGGGGAGGCATCAGTTTGGACGGAACCAAAGACCTGTAAGTCATTCAGAATGGAACAAAGCCAACTGTGAGATGAGATCCTTCATCCAACGTGCGAACATCCGTATGCGTCATAAGCCAGGAATTCCTGGTAATGGACGATAATACAGTATCTTCAGAGAGAAAGTGTCGAGCGATTAGAATGACCAGCCTATTCACCAGAGAGAAATCCAATGGGAACAGAATCCCATTGAGCATGCTTAGGATTTCGTGCAGAACCGGATTTCTGACTGCCTGTTGCCAATAGCAACGAATCCCCCAAGCCGCTTTCAGGAAACTCGTTCAAAGTTTAACAAAGCGTTGTCAAGCACTGATTAGTGCTTTTGGAGGCCACGCGCGATATTGACATCACTGTGAACATTCTTGACATTGTGTACAAAGTTTTACATTGACAGCCTGTTGATGGCGTGAACCTTGCTGCTTATAGGTCGTCTCAATATTTTGTGACTGATATCAGATTATGGCTGCCAAAGGTAGCATCTAGTCGTGCTACAGATTGTTCTAATACATTAAAACACGTTGTTATCAATGTTTCAATCTGTGGCTGACATTTGCGTGTGATTTTTAGGTTATTTTGGTGGCCCTTACTAAATGTTTTTGTTTAGTGTACATGCCTGCTACCATTCGGTTTTATGTCAAGTATCAGTCGACGTATGTTTGTGATCTGTAATTTCTGTATATTAAGCTGTACAAAACATATGTGTTACCTATAAATTGTATGTCAGGCAGTACATGATATATGCGTCATATATCTGTTACCTATAAACAGCATATCAAGCAGTATACAGCATATATCTGTTATCTATAACAGTATATTAAGCATTCTAATTCAACTTAGTATGTAACATGAGTTCTGATTGGTCCATGCTATAAATTTCAGACCGTATAATCAGCATGCATGTGTTTGGAAACCGATTCACCAAAACCTTTGAATTAATCCATACACTATTTTGGGTAACGCTGTTTTTCAGGGCATTTTGATTTGCAGAAGCCCTAGGTCAATTAACTCCCCATATCACTCTAAATTGGATGGAATTTGTGTTAAAAAAAATAATCAGTATCATAAATTTAATTGTAAGTTGAAACAACTAACTCGCAACGAACTATTGTCCCAACACTGTTAGATCATGAAACAAGATTATGACGTCATTTGACAAACAAAACTGATAATGGCCCGTCGTTGAGGAATCAGCGGGTCATTATCATTTGCAACGGCCCGCTCATTTCTGATAACTAGAGGGCGGTTTCATGATAATTCTGTCCGTATCAGCTATAACACTATGATTTATTCATCATTGTCAGATTTAGTCAGTGTGCACATAATAAACGTGTTGAAATTTGAAACTGGAGCTACTTTTTCTTTGACCTAGAGGAACTTTGACCTGGTTTAAATAATGAATTTCTTTCACGAAAAAAAACCGTAAAACGAGTTGAATCAGAATGGGGATAACTGTACTGTGTTTGACGAATTGGGGACGTATACCGGTGGTTATATAGCCGTAAATTTAACGTTATATAACTACATTTGCGTCAATATATAGAGAATCTCACCCGAGTGTCCTTTGATATCAAATATATCACCACGAGTTGATAAAGTTACGGGCCTACCTTTAGAATACAGCACCACAAACTTTAAAAATACGTCATAATACTCTTTTACGTAATGTAATGTGATTTTGTTCGAAAGCACGTTCTCAAAACAATGCCCTATGACGCCTGCATGACAACACGGTGGTCTAGCTCAGCGAGTGCGTATAAGCTCCGCTCATTGGTGTTTCATCTCTACTAGCTATGTCATTGCATAAGCCCAACGATGTTGAGAGTTTCCAGTAGTTGTATACCGGCGGTTGCGCAATTTTTTGCAAGCACAAGTTTGAAATATTTTTCTTTTTTCACTAATACGCTCATATTTGTTTGTATTACGGGGTGCTGAGGTGTTATGTTTTGTGTATTATTGTATTTTGGGTTTTTTAGATTTAGCGAGAATGCAATTTATTCGCAATTTTGGTCAATGTAATTATTTAAATTATGTAAATATATTTTATATTTTGGGTTCTAAGTAACTGTTAAGTCTAAATTATTTACCAGTGTAAACTGACATACATATATCTTTTTTTTCATTCAGTAATTTGCACCATAACATAGAAAAGTTTTTCATTAGTATTTTATTTTTCGAAGCGGTAATAATGCATTACACTGGACACGTCAGTCATGTTTGTGCCTGTTCGGTCAATGCATTTATTAGAATTACTTCAAGGGGTTAGGTACTTTAGGGTTAGGGTTAGGGCTTCGGGTTTAGGGTTTAGGGTTTAGGGTTTAGGGTTAGGGTTAGGGACCTAATCCAATATAGTAGGTACATGTCTGGTGTAATACGTGAGTACCATTTGTTGTTTTTCCTTTTGTAATAATGCATTACACTGGACACGTCAGTCATGTTTGTGCCTGTTCGGTCAATGCATTTATTAGAATTACTTCAAGGGGTTAGGTACTTTAGGGTTAGGGTTAGGGCTTAGGGCTTCGGGTTTAGGGTTTAGGGTTTAGGGTTTAGGGTTTAGGGTTAGGGTTAGGGACCTAATCCAATATAGTAGGTACATGTCTGGTGTAATACGTGAGTACCATTTGTTGTTTTTCCTTTTGCATTTTAATACTGCCGGTTCGGTCAATGCATTCTATTTATTAGGATTATTTCAAGGGGTTAGGGTTAGGGTTAGGGTTAGGGTTAGGGCTGAGGGTTTAGGGTTTAGGGTAAGGGTTAGTGTTAGGGACCTAATCATAATTAGGTGGTCTAGCTCAGCAAGTGCCTGTAAACAGTATATCAAGCAGTATACAACATATATCTGTTATCTATAACAGTATATTAAGCAGTATACAACATATATCTGTTATCTTTAACAGTATATTAAGCAGTTTACAACATATATCTGTTATTCTAATTCAACTTAGTATGTAACACGAGCTCTGATTGGTCAATGCTATAAATTTCCGACCGTATAATCAGCATATACGGTCGCAATTTGAAAACCGATTCACCAAAACCTTTGAATGTATCCCTACACTATTGAGGTAACACTGCTTTGCAGGACATTGTCATTTGCAGAAGCCATAGGTCATTTAACTCCCCTATCCAGCTAAAACGGGTGGAATTTGTGTTTAAAAAGACAAAACAGTATCATAAATATAATTTTAAGTTCAAACAACTTACTCGCAACGGGCTGTTGACCCAACAATGTTAGATCATGAAACAAGATTTATGACGCCATTATGGAGCGTGACGTCACCTGCTGTGACGTTATTTGACAACAGAATGTTATCTATAACAGTATATTAAGCAGTATACAACATATATCTGTTACCTATAAACAGTATATCAAGCAGTACTAGTATACAGCATACATCCGTTACCCATAAACAAGTATATCAAGCAGTATACAACATATATCTGTTATGTATAGACAGTATATCAAGCAGTACACAACATATATCTGTTATCTATAAATAATATATTAAGCAGTACACGACATATATCTGCTATCTATAGACAGTATATTAAGCAGTATACAACATATATCTGTTACCTATAAACAGTATATCAAGCCCTATACGGCATATTTTGTTTCTTATATATACTGAAAGGCAAAAGAAACGCCGTAATATTGGAAATAACATTTAAGTATCAATGGAGTATTTGAACCTATTCAGATATACACCGGAAGTCAAGTTTGAGGAAAACATGAATCGTGGTCGTATAGTCTGTATTGCCCAATAACGTATTGTTTGAGATTGAGGTTTGAAATGTTTTTGTTTGTGGAAAGGGAAGAGTTCGCACAAACACAACATTGAAATCGAGATGCACGTACATCATGCATGCATTCAGGCATAAATTGCCGGCTTGAATGGCAACCATTCAGGAACCTGAGATGTTTCTGGGATGTATATCTAGCACTGTACATCTGGCACACAACGAAAGTACACTGAAACGTTTAGATAAACTATTTGAAGAATGAATTGTGTGAGCAGTAAAACTCAACAGGTATTTTTGTATCAAATATTGACGTTCTGGCCATTCGACTTATTCGCTAAATTAGACGAACTAATTAATTCAACACTTTTGTCAACTGAGACCTTAGTCTCATTTTGTGTCAGATAATTAGAATCGTCATAGAAATTTCGGATCACTAGGCCTATTATGCTGGCCCCTAGGGCAAATTATTATCGACGGGGGGAGGGGGCGCACAAAACACTGAAGGCATTAGCAGTGTCGTGACAAGATAGCGAAACAAAGGCTTCGCGATCCACGTCTTGGGCACTATTATTTTCTGCGCTTCATTGATCGTCAATGTCTTGTACTGAATGCAGGCATTGGAACCTCCTGAAAGTGATCATCTGTGACAAACCCCGGCTGGTGGGTTGGTATAGTAGTATACAATGCACTCACACATTAAATATTAAATTTTAAACGTCAGGATGTATTCACCTAGTACATATTCCATGGACTGTAGTGGAAATTGAGTGAGTGAGTGAATTTGGTTTTACGCCGCTTTTACCAATATTCCAGCAATAACACAGCGGGGAACACCAGAAATGGGCTTCACACAATGTACCCATGTATGGAATGGAGCCCGGGCCTTCGGCGTGACGAGCTAATGCTTGAACCACTAGACTACCCCACTGCCCCAAGTTAAATTGAAAAACATGTCCCCCTCGACCGGTTTCAAATTATTGATTGATTAGTGTAGCCCTCAAGCATATGTTGAGCTCTTTGTAAAAGAATGGACCAGACAACATGTGTATAACTACCCATGCTCTAACTGCTCATGAGGGCCGTCGATAAACAAGGACAGATTAATTTAATCGTATGAACAGCTTGAATTACTGGGCCTATATTTTCGAAGCTCTCTTAGCGCTAAAATAGTCGTAAGTGCCATTCATTAACATCAACTAACGACTATCTTAGCGCTAAGAGAGCTTCGAAAATCTAGCCCCTGGAGTCCATAGCCCGATATGCTTGGGTGCTTAATCTACTACTTATATGTTATTCAAACAATTTAAGGTAAAATTTGGCTCTGAAATGTATTTAGTTAATGTTTTAAATTGTAACCACAGGTCTGCATTATGCAAATTAAGATTATCATCATACATTATTAATTGAAACTGGTAGACATGGTAGTAATAAAATCCCACGGGATGAAAGAATTTGTACTAACTGTAATCTTAATGACATAGAAGACGAATTTCACTTTTTACTCAAATGTTCATCGTACACTAACCTAAGATCTATTCATTTAAAGAAATATTTTTTTCTTTATTGTAAGAATTATTCAGTTTATAAATGTGTACAGTTATTATCATCAGAAAATATTAGTACTCAACGCTCTCTATGTAATTATGTGTTTGAAGCATTCCGTGTAAGAAACAACTTTTAACTTATTAATAATGTCATCCTCACCATCCAACATAAATATTATCTATATTGTATTGTATGTATGGCCAGAGGCCCATATGGCTTGCGTCAATAAAATCTGTCTGTCTGTCTGTCTGTCTATATTCTTGACCAACTCGTGTTATT